GGTGTGCTAAAGGCGTGATAGGGGAGGGGAATTTGCACTCACCAGGCGTCTTGGGTGGCTCCGTGAGAAATTCAGGCCGATCTAACTTCTTGTGCTGCCAGAATCTTGGTGGTGGCACACCAGGGGAGGGCATGGAGCAGGGAGTTTCTGGAACCTGGGCAAAGGGCTGGCAGTGGTTCCTATGCCAAATGCCAAGAGGTGGGGGATGGATGCAAATACAAGTTGGTGCCATAACCAGTGAGCCACTGTCCCATCCAGTCTGCAGAGTTGCAGCTCAGCGGCTGAATTTTCATGTGGAGAGAGGCTCTTCGTGGTCTTCCCCCAGGGCTTTGTTCTTGCCTCTGAACAGGTGGCAGAAGATGTAAACAGAGAAACTGAGTTGTGAGTCAAATGTGGGTTTGATGCTAAGCTGGGAGGGGGTGTGAACACGGTGGAAGACCAAATCAGGATCCAGACAGGCTCAGTCAGTCAGAGTGCCAGGCTGGATTTCATACAGTGGAACTGAGCTTGGGTCCCTCAGAACAATTGCACCAGGACAGAGCTGGGGGGCATGGGATTTCAGGCGGCAGAATTTCTATGTGATGCTGTGTGGCAGACAGCAAGTCCCATCTGATCTAGCATCCAGAGCCGGAAGGCAGGGGACGATGGTCCTTCTGCTTTGCACCTGCTGAGACACACTCTGGACCGTGACATTCAGCTCTGGGCACATCAGAGAAGGACAGCGTGGCGCCACATCTCATAAGGTAGAGTTGAAGGCACAAGGCTAATCCTAAAAGAACAGAAGACTCACAGATACTTGGGGAGTGTAGTTTTGATGACCTGGAGAGGGGTCACCTGGAAGGGTGCGTGGACGCACCATCTGTAGAGGCGGCGTGGTGCTGTGGTTTGGTGGATGGTGCTTCCCCGAGGGCCACAACCTCGCTCATCTCCGGTGCTCTTTTGTGTTACGGTCTTGCCCTTCTTCAGTAAAGAGGTGGAGTTTCGTTATCCTGCTCTTGGAGCGAGGCTGCCCTGAGACCTGTGTTGGCCAGTAGAATTTGGTGGATGTGGTGTCGGATCACTTCCGGGCTTTAGCAGGGATGCAGACTTCGCCTTTGCAGACTGAAATGCTGGCTTTGGGGTCCAGTTGTCATGAAAAGAGGCACGAGCTAGTCTCTTGGCAAGAGCTGCGTGGACCCGTCCAGCTGTCCCTGCCGGGTTCCAGATGTGTGAAGCCACCTGCATGTCCTAGCTGCCATCACAGTGCAGTCCCAGAGTGACCTCGGGGGGTACCAAATGTGGCAGAAGGTCCACCTAGCTGAGCCCTGCTGAAATATCAGACCCACAGAATTCTGAGCAAAGAAAATGGTCATTGTTTTAAGCCACTAAATTTTGAAGAGGAATGTTATTCAGCAATAAATATCGCGAACAGTGGCCGGGATTGGGGTCTGCGGCGCCTGCTGCTTTGCCCCGCTTACTGGGGGCGGTCACTTACCTCCTTTGTCCCGTTTCTTCTTCTGTAACAGAAGGAGGGCCGACCTCATGTGATGGCTGTGGGGGGTTTTCTTTTTCCAGATGGAGGCGCCGGGGATGGAACCCAGGGCCTCGTGCTCGGTAAGCACGTGCGCTACCGCCGAGCCACACCCTCCCCCCTAGACTGCGGGGTTAAGTAATTGAGTGCATGAGAATCACTTCAGACAACACTCCCTGCACAAAGCTGGGGTAGAGCTGGGACCAAGGGAGACAAGCCGTGAAGGCACAGAGCAACCCAGTGTTATGAGAGAACGACAAACAGCGCTGTCCAGGCAAGGAGCGGACTGCCTCTGGGCGGGGTGAGGCCCCTTCCCTGGGGCCTCCGGGTCGCGGGACGGCTGCTTGCGCAGCGCTGCGGTGAGGCCCTGTCCCGTCGCGCTGGGGCCGCGTCCTCGGGGGAGGAGCTGCGGGTGTGCTTGGTATCCTGCTCTTACGCCTAGACTTGAGCTTGACAGATAAGCCAGACGTCCTCACCCGGCTGAATCATTACAGTTTCGAGATCACCCAACGTATTTCATCTGCCATAATGTTTTCTCATCAACCACTAATGTTCCCAGACCCATTCTCATGAGGTCAGCATCACCATTTCTGCAAGACAGCGGCCTTGAAGCAGAAGAGCCAAATGGCCTAGTAATTATTGAACGGGCTGCTTCCAATACCTTTCTGCCTATGAATTGAAGGCTGCAGCACGAGGCCCTCCCCTCTCAGGTTCCTTGCCCAGTCACGTGCCCAGATTGTCCCCACTGCCCCAAACGCAGGGGCAAAAGGCGAAAAGACCCAGAACAGATCTCACTTCACTCCTCTCCAGCGTCTGAGACAGAGAAACAGCCGATGCAGCCCCTGCATTCAGGGATCAAGAAAGGAGTTGTCTATTCAAGAGTTCACAAAGAAAAGGAGGCCTGGAACTGAAGCCTTCCTGTGTGCTGTGATCTGATAAAATGTCCCAGACTGTTCCCCAGGGCCCCGAGAGATAACAACCCCAAAGTCACTTGCAAGTCAGCTGAACGCTTCTTACCAGGTCATTCCAGGGCAGGGCACAAGACACAGACAGAGAGAAACAGGAGGGCAGGGGTCCCTGGCGAGCCGGGGGCAATTCACTGTCTCCCCATACAAGCGTCAAGGACGGGGTCCCGGGGCCCTGAACAAGGACAGACTGAGCCAAGAAACAGGGACAGGTGGTCACTTTGCTACCCACTCTGAAGCCCCCCATGGGGTACTTTAATAGCGTTCTCCATCTGTCCAACCTCGGGGGTTAATCCCTTCCTAATCTGAGCTGTAATAATTGGCTCATCAGACACTCCAGAAAGCCCAGGCCACAGTTTTGCTGTTCTTTTTGGCTAGACTTTTCTTTTCTTAGAGCCGAGTGAAGCTGACCTAGAAATCTCCCATGTGAGCTTCAGTCCTCCGCTGAATAAAAGCAGACACTCCTAAGAAGTGTGCGTGTTTCGAAAGCACAGCCCTCCCTTCCTGAGGGTGATTTTATTCCCTGCGCCCTGAACATACAGGAATGAGAGCCACCGGGACGAGATCACATGAGCCTGCTCTTTGCTGAAAAGAAACAAACAAAACAAAACAAAACAAAAAAAGGAAAGAAAAAGAGAATGGGGCGGGGGAAGCCTCCTGCTATTAGCTTCTGCTAATGAGCTCACTGGTGCATGTCCAGGAAACATCCCAGAATGAATTCATCTGCTGAGATTTCTGGCTTTTGAAAAAACGTCCCCTTGTTGTGGTAGATGGCAAAGGACACATGAATGGAGACTGTGTGAAGCCGGATCAGGGGCTGAGTCCAAAGACCAAGAAGGAAGCCCAGGAGGTGGTCGGCATCTGGGGCAGAAGTAAGCCCGCTCTTTGGGGACCAACCCATCATGGAGGAAAACAGAGGGCTGGTTTTGTTTTTTCTCCCAAAGGAGAAAAATCGACCATGTAAGCGGCCAAGGCCCCATCACACGGGCCCAGCACCTGGGACAGAAGGAGGGACTGCCAATCTGACCAGGTGGAGAGGTTCACACTGAGGAGCCTCCTGGTCGCCATCCGGGCTGGCATCCTGCTTGATTTGTGCCCACCCCCAGCGCCCACCAGATGCAAAGAAATGCACGTGGATGCAGCTAAGGCCAACCCAAGGCCCTTCCTAAGACACCGGAGGTGGCGATAACCACAGTCCTGTACTTACTTTCCTTGTCTCATTTACTAAATGTATTTGTTTTGAACAAAAAATAGTCTCTTCAAAGGAGAAGGCTAAGTGGTCTGAATAGAGTGGGGTGGGTGATGGAGGCGGGGCTGAGAAGGTGGGCAGCGACTGCACAGGAGTCAGGCACGGGTGTGATGAGGGGAAACAGAGGCAGAGTGGAAGGGGGGACCAGCCTGCCTGAGCTAGACACATGGTTCTGCACGTGGTCTGTCTGCTGGGAGGGCCGGACCAACCCTGTGTGTGATGCTGCTTCAAGATGCAGATGCAGGGCAGAGTGCCTGTAAGTCGAGCAAACGCACACGGGGGCCAGTGCTTGGGCTTCTGGTCCTTTCCTGCAGCCCCTCCAGACTCGCCCTCTCGAGTTCCTGTGCCTGGCTGCCTCACTGACACCTGTGGGCCCGTGACACCCAGAATGCCTGGACTCTGGTTCTGGTGAGCATCCCTGCTGGGATCGCTGCTTCCCACTGCCGAGTCTGGCCTTCCCTAGGTGTGTGCATCCGTGCCCAAGGCTGGCGTGTCTCCGCACGCCTCTGCTATCTGGCCTCATTCTGCCTGCTTTTGGCTTCCCTGCTGCCACCTTGGTGCCGCAGCTTGAAGAGACCCCCTCCATCACACTCTGTCATCTGAGATAGAATATTCTCTAAAAGTAACCCCAGCCAGACAGCAGACCAGGAGAAAAGGCAATTATTGGGTTAAGTTCCTCCTGGACAATCCTGAGACCCCGGGTCTCACAAATGGATGCCAAGACCCTGTCTCCGTGGCCAACAGCATTTTCTCTCTTGTTTACTCTGGCTGGCAGTGGTACTGCCCCTCACTGCTGGCATCTCCATGACTTTGAAATCTGCCAAGCCCCACCTCCCTTGCTAGAGCAGTCCATGCCCTGTCTGAACCCACTCACATGAATGTCTGTGCCAAGGGCACCGAGTCTGCACTGAAGAACAGAGGGGAGGTGGGTGCTGTCACCACCGGTGATAATAATGCTTGTTGTGGGTTGAACTGTGCCCCCCCCCCAAAGATATGTTGACGTCCTAACCCCTGGTACCTGTGAAAGTGACCTTGTTTGGAAACAGGGTCTTTGGAGATGTGGCTAAGATTTAAGTTAAGATGAGGTCAAGGAGGAGGGTGGGCCCTGAACCCACTGTGACTGGTGTCCTTATAAGAAGGGAAGAGGCACAAACAATATTGTATGAAGATGAAAGCAGAGTTTAGGATGACGAGTCTGGAAGCCAAGGGACACCAATGATGGTGGCCGTCACCAGAGGCCACTGGAGAGGCACACTGACATCCAAATGCAGGGCTGCCAGCTGCCACATGGCCCCTGCACCGGGGCCCTTGGGCATTATGGAGAAGCACTCATTTGGCCTGTATCTGGCCTTCCGTGGCACACCCCCTGGCCCCAGGATCCAAGTCCAAGCCCACGGGGGCCAGGCCGAGGTGATGAGGACCTGCTGAGCCCAGACCACCTCACGCACTGAGCTTCCCGGTCACTGCAGAGCCTGCAAGGGGCTCTCTGTGGGACAAGCTCGTTTCCCTCTGCAGCCCCAGGGATGCACCAAGGTAATGGGGAAACTTACCAGTCAGGCTGGGCTTTTCACACCTGCAGGTCACCGCTTAGAAAGGAGTTTCTCCTCTGAGTAAGCCTATGCCCAGAGCAACTATTAAGCTACAGTGAAAGCTGAAGTTTGGGGAAATCAGGAATCAAAATATGAAAAAGAAAACAGAGTAACTTCAGTCTAGCTCAGGACTTCCTGTGCTGCAGCCCCTCTAGTCACCGTCCCTCCAGCCCTGGCCCAGAGTCTTGTCCTCCCCAGGAAGGCGGGCACAGGAGTGGACTGGCAGCGTGGACCCCCGGCCGGGCACCCACTCATGTCTCTCTTGGCAACTGTGGACTTCACCTTGTGGTCTCTGCTAGCATGAGGCCCACGGCATCCCTCGGAGGGCAGGGACAGCCCTGGGACATGTGAATGGAGTGGACTCTGGGGTGAGGGTCAGGCTGACTAGCTGGGGCTCTTCCTGATGGTCCCCATACAAGGACCTTGGGTTGGAGCACAGCTGAGGGTCTCCACTTGCATCTCAGGACATCTGAAGCCCGCCCCGGAGGATAATCACAGGGGTGGGAGTGCAGATAGACAAGCGTGGGGAGCTGGCATTTCCGAACAGACTGGGGTCCAGGGCAGTCTGAGGTTGGGAGGTACTGGTCCCAAGTCAAGTATCATTTCCAAACTTCATTGATTAAACATTATCCCTTTAAAGACCTGAGACGAATTTAGGGTAGAGCCTGCCATCTCCTTAATGGAAATAGTGTGGCCTGGGCAGCTCTGCTTGGAGGGCAGCCTTCTCCATGTTATGTTCTGGGTGGTTCCCTTAAGATAGAAAATTCCAGTCAAGAATCCTAGGACAAAGGCAGGGGTCAAGCTGGTTGGATGCTGATGCTGATGCTGATGCTGGTGGTGATGATGGTGATGAAGATGATGCTGCTGATGATGGTGATGAGGATGATGATGACGACGGTGGGCTCACAAATGATTCTTCCTACGTTGCTCTAGTTCTCTTGTTTTGATTATCCTCCTCCAATGACACTCACTTGTGCAGAAAAGACAAGCGTGCACAAGTCTCCAGCAGAAGCCACAAGTTGTGTCTATTTGTCATTTGTATATATGTCAATATCACACATTATTAAATATTTAATGAATAACAATAGATGCTGTGTAATAAATACTATTATTACATATTTATTACATAATATTACTAAATAATATTATATAAATCACATGTAATCACATGCTTCTCCAAATTTCTTCTTTTTTTGCTAATAAGCCCTCAGCCAGGATCATGAAATAGGTGTCAAGGTTACCGTATTAGCAGTCACCTTCAAAGTCAACACAGAAAAGATCCCCAGATTGGGCTGTTCCCTGGGACAAGGTTTTCCTTTTCCCCAGACCAAGTAGCTGCAGAGACTTCTGGGCATTCAGGGGCCCTGCCAGATTTTTCCTTGCCCCATAGGGGAGGGGGCTGCAGGACAGCCCTGGGAGATGTGAGCAGGGGTGGCAGCAGCAGAGGTCCTGCTGAATGGAAAAGGAGAGGGTAGCCCTGGAGTCCAAGGATCACCTGTGGAGTGGACCTGAATGTCTCAAACTGGGTCCTCCATCCTCAGCTCCGTCCCCTGCTACGAAATGCAGTCTGGGTGGTGGCTTCTGTGACCTCAGCCCCAGTAGCTGGAGCCTGGGATAAAAGCCAACGTTGTCGCAGAGGAGCAGTCAACTTCCACCCCACGGAACTTGCACTTTCATTGCAGAGAGCTGCTGGCTGGTGTCTGTCTGACTGATGGCCGACGCTTTTGCAGCGAGAATGAAAACCAGTGTAATACGAATTCAGCATCGACCTGGAGACCGTGCTCAGCACTGGACAAGACAGCTGTAAACAGACATCCTCCGCGCCGGCTGGGCTTGGTACCCGAACGGTAAAGCCGGACACGAAGGGCGTGGGAAAGGCACGAAGATTCACGATGTCCAGGATGGGTGATAAGAGAAACAAGCGTTTTGTGGGGGGTGGAATGTTTTTGTCCTTTGGGGGGCATTTTGTGCTGCACCACGGGGCTTCCGGCCAGGGCAAGTCAGGAGGCGGAATCCGAAGGTGGTGAGACTGGCTGGAATGTGCATCCTAACGTTCCGACTCTAGCCGCTGCCATCGGCTCGGCTCTGCCGCCCGCTCGCGCCGCAGAAAACGCCGCAGCACAAAGCCGGGCCGGCCGCGAAGTGGGTTAGCGCGTTATGTAAGCCCCGGCGGGAGGCGAGATGGTCTTTTCTGCGCGTTCATCCTGCAGCGGCGGCGGCGGCGGCG